GGCCACAACGGTGACTGGAGATAACCAGCCTAATGGATCAAACAATCTAGAGATATCCGAAAGGATCACTCTTTTCGTCACCGAATCTGATGTGGATTTAGGCGCTAAGCTATCGAACCTGAAGGCATCCTGGATGGAGTCCCAGTAAATACCGAGTGTCTTAACCGACTCACCGTCGTTGATTCGCGTGGAGGAAACTGACCGAGGCTGAATGGGTAAGAGACTCGGGTGGTTCGCCGCCCACTTATCGAGCGGGAAGCCGGCCAGTCCCAAAAGTTCCACAAGTTCAGAACGCTTCTTCACCGCAAGTGCTAGGTCATCCGCGCCCGCGAATACGTCATCCACATAGGTGTAATTCTCGAGACAACGCGCCCCTAATGGGAACCTACTCCCCTCATCCCGAGCCAATTGTAAAAGCGTACGTATCGCAAGATACGGAGCACTGTTAGTGCCATACGTCACCGTCGTTAGTCGATAGTCCACAGGGTCGACCGTCGGATCCGGGGACCACACGATCCTCTGACAATCCTGATCGGCAGGCACAACCCCGATTTGCCTAAACATCTTCACAATATCTGTGGTAAACACGAATCGATATCTACGCCAGTTAAGCAGTATCAATGCAAGATCGCGCTGCAACGGGGGACCTTTCATCATGTAATGATTCAAGGAGTAACCTCCTTTTGTCTGACGAGAAGCGTCGAAGACTACACGTAACTTCCACGCCGTGCCCGAGCACTGCACAACGGCGTGATGAGGCAGGTACCAAGCCGAAGGATTGGCAGTCTCCTCAGGAGGCACTCGTTCCATATGTCCGAGCGACTCGTACGTTTCCATGAACTCTCGATACGATTGTGCTAATCTCGCGTCCCGTGCAAAGCGACGATGCATCGACCTGAGGGACCCTAACGCCATTCCACGCGTCTCCCTAGCGGCCTCCGGAAGGCTAGATTTGAACGGAAGTCGTACTACGTATCGACCCTCCGAGTTTCGCGAATGCGTTCGACTAAATAACTCGTCGCAACTCTGCTCCTCGTCGTCCCATTTATCCAGAGACGACGGGATTTCCTCTAGTCTCCAGAAACCTTCCATCACCTTCAGCAAGTCCGGATCTGTAGAACAATGCAGAAGTGATGCCGACGCCGCCCGCCGTGCCGGGTCGGCTGTGACAGCGCCAAAAACTACCCATCCGAAGACGGTGTTCTGTGCTACGAGACGCGAGGCAGGCCAGCGCCTCACGCCTGACTTTAGAATTTGCCCGTACACTTCCGCCCCCAGGATAAGATCCACCGGGTTCGAGGTGGTGAACTGCGGATCTGCCAACGGCAGTCCTCGAAATCGCGATGAAGCGTGCTCCTTCAGCGAGCAGGCTGGAAGTGGTGCCGTGAGACGCGGCAGAACAAGAGCATCGATCTCGACTGTGGATCGCGGGTCGACCAATGAGCTCAACACCAACCGTATAGCCGAATGAGCAGCACCGGCTCTCCTACCGCTAATCCCTCGCAACGAGATTTCCACCGTTCGTCTCGGCAACTGGAGTAGCTGAGCAGCTGACTCGGATACGAAAGAGGCCTCCGAGCCTTGATCCAACAACGCACGGACTCTAACTATCTCCCCGTTCGAGCTTAAAGCTCCGACCTGAGCCGTAGCCAAGAGTACCGTCTCCAAGAGCGGAGAGGCTCTGGCTGAATGAGAACTAACAACGGCTGGTTTCACTTTGGTGTCCGCTCCCTCGGCCCTCAACGCCGGGGACGCGCGACTCTCATCGGCCGGCGTAGCCGCCGCCTTTGAATGCAAAAGAGTGTGATGCTTTGCCTCCTTTCCTCCCGACGGCCCTGGAGCTGAGCATATTCGGCAACAGGAGGAACGGAGGATTCACTCGAACCGTTCACACAGCACGTCAAAAATACCGACCGCGAGAAAGCTAACTCCTCCAACCGTTGGTCGGAACCGCGCGTCCGACTAAATATCGCGTTTATTCGCGGAGTAATCACGAATTCCGGAGTCCCGTCCGAAATTCCGTACCGGGAGGAGTTAACTAACGTTACATGGCGCCCGAACAGGGACCTGCTGTGTGGGAAAATTATTAGAGTTTCTATAAAGGGAGAAGTAAAAACAGATCGCTTGAAGGGAAGATAAGTCCGTGACCGTTAGGTAGAATCCGTAACCCTGTGAGGGAATACCGTTAGAAAACAATTAGAAGTCCCTCCCCCGATAGAGATAATGACGACCACTCCGCGAGTGTCCTGGGTATACGCCCTATCTAAGGACATGGTACAGCTCGAGTTGATCGAGAAAGGAATCGATTCCGAGGGGCATTTGGCCACCTTACGCCAGAGATTGGTGGCGTACATACGATCGCACCCGGAGGAGTACCAGGAGAAACCTGTAGACGCTCCTGGGTATAACGAGGAAGTTGACCGGACTCGTGACATGGAGAGGATGCAAGCCGAGTTGGACCAGCTCAGACAAGCGCAAAGACTGCAAGTCGAGCTGGACCAGCTAAGACAAATACGACATTCCACGCCAACAAGGGATCAAACCCGAATTGACGAGACGAAGATCCTCGACCAGATGAGGAAGTGGAATTGCCACTTCGATGGACGTGACCTGTATACGTTCCTGGAACGAATCGAGGAATTACAACGGGCCTACACTCTAACGGACGAGCAATTATTGAAAGGCTTCCCGGAATTGCTTCGAGGCGAGGCGCAATTATGGTTCCGTAATTTCCAGACGGACTTCACCACACTTAAAGAACTGAAAGCCGGTCTACGAAACTACTACTTGTCTCCAGGCGAGTTACGCCAGTTGGATCAACAGATAAACGACCGGAAACAAGGCGCTAGCGAAAAGATCCGAGCATTCGCAACCTCGATCATGACTCTTATGCGCCGCCGAGGAGGCTACACTCCTGACCAGCAGCTCGACGTCATATATTATAATGCGCGGGCAGAATACCGTCTCTACATTCCCAGGACCACCGTGCAGACCGTGACCGAACTTATTCAGAAGATTGAAGAGCTGGAAGAAACTAAAAGACAGCTCGACGTCGAGAAGGGCTGAGGGAGGCCAGAAATTAAGAAAGGTATACCTCAGCCACGTACATCGCTAGCCACCGCGTATGACCGTAAGACCTGCTGCTGGAGATGTAAGCAAAGGGGTCACGACCGTTTCCAATGCCGGAATCCGACGAAGAAATTTTGTTCGTATTGTGGCACCGATGGGAAGCTGACAAAGGAGTGCCAGTGCCAGAGGCAGGGAAACGACAAGGGGGCCGGCGACAATGGAGGTCGAGACCGGCCCGTACAAAACTAAGAACGACTAGAGAGAACCGACCGTTCGTGTCCGTAATAATCGGCACACATAAATGCACAGCGCTTATTGACACCGGCTCGGTGAATTCATATTGTAGCGAGGAAACGGCCAGAATCTGTCGGCGAGCCGGGTGGAGCCGGCACCAGGATCACCGAATCGCAGTCTTAGCGGACGGCACTGAAACAGCACTGGAAAATAGATTGACCGGAAATATCAAAACAATGGGCGTCTCCACAGAGCAAACACTTCTCATTATGAAAAACCTAAGCCACGACATCCTGCTAGGTATGGATGCCCTAAATAAAATGGGAATCAGAATCTTCCTCGCCGGACAAGGGATCCATAAGACAGGGAGCAGGACGGGTATCAGCTCCGTGGAAAATCCAGGAGGACTTACGCACCTGAGAAAGACCGAGAAGACCAGACTCGACGCTTTCCTCAAAACCGAGATGGAAAGTTTCAGGGATATCAAGGGAAACACTCCTCTCATCCAGCACGAGATAAGGCTGGAAGATCCGTCGCCTATCAAACAACGTTATAGGCCAAGAAACCCGGCGATGCAAAGCATCATCGAGGAGGAGATCGAGAAAATACTCAACGAAGGAGTAATTAAACCATCAACCAGTCCCTGGAGTTCTCCGATCGTTGTAGTCCGAAAAAAGGATGGCAAACCGCGTCTGTGCATCGACTACCGGAAATTAAATAAAGTCACCCGCAAAGACGCTTATCCATTGCCGCAAATCAACGCGACATTGGATAAGCTCAGAGGGGCAAAGTACCTGTCAACCATCGATTTAAAAAACGGGTACTGGCAAGTACCTTTGACACCGGAAAGTAAGCCTTTGACCGCTTTCACCGTCGCGGGTAAGGGCTTATTTGAATTCAATGTAATGCCTTTTGGCTTACATTCTGCGCCTGCTACGTTCCAGAGGTTACTCGATCAAGTAATCACACCGGAGCTGCTCCCGAACGCCTTCGCCTACCTGGATGACATCGTCATCATCTCGAAGACGTTTGACGAGCACCTAGAGACACTGAAGGTCGTCTTTGAGCGACTGAGAAAGGCCAAATTGAGACCAAATCCAGAAAAGTGCCAGTTCGCCCGAGTAAAATTGAAGTACCTCGGACACATCGTCGATCAGAATGGTCTGCACGCCGATCCAGACAAGACCGCCGCCGTGATAAATCTTACGCCGCCCAGAAACACCAAAGAGATCCAGCGTTTCATGGGACTCATCTCTTGGTACCGGCGTTTCCTGAAGGACGTATCCAGTGTCGCTGCCCCGTTGCACCGTCTCCTGCGCAAACGAGCGAAATGGGAGTGGTCGGAAACGCAACAAGCCGCGTTTGATGAAGTGAAAAAGTTATTAACGAATGCTCCAATATTATCCTGTCCAGATTGGAGCCAGACATTCGTTCTCCAGACCGATGCCAGCCAAGAAGGGCTAGGCGCCGCACTTACCCAACAGATACACGGATCCGAAAGGGTGATCGGATATGCCAGCCGAACACTCACGAGTGTCGAGAAAAATTACTCGGCAACCGAGCTAGAATGCCTTGCAATCAAGTGGGGCATCTGGAAATTCCGTGACTATCTGGAGGGG